GGAATGCCCCCAGAAGTGGTGACAGGCCAGGACAGGCCAAGGGAGATGAAAGGAGAGGGAAAAGGCGATTGCTGGCCTTCATTGCCTGCTCTTGGCATCTGGAGATACAGAGAATAATTCCTGGCAACCAGGTCACAAAGGCTGCAGCAGCTCTTCCTGCAAACACAAGCTCTCACTGTGTGCCATCCAGCAGACGTTCATCTGCCCACTCTACTATGAGCCATCTGCCCTGCTGCCCTTCTCCCACCAGAAAGGCACAATGACCATGTTATTTCTCTTCCAGCTTCACATTACAATATGGAAGCTGTCGCCAAGTTTGATTTCACTGCCTCAGGTGAGGACGAACTGAGCTTTCACACGGGAGACATTCTGAAGGTAGGTGATGTGGGCCCCAGGGGAGTGATAGGGTTTAGCTGCTCAGTCTGGTCAGGAGGTAATCTAACAATCCGTGCCTTTGTCTCTTAAGAACTGCATGCAGTTCTTTTTAAAAAGAGAAGTTCGCTTCCATCCAAAGGGTTTCTTCTGTGCACCTGTGTGTCAGACACCAGGCCGGCTGATGAAGATACAGAGTTGGGAGCCAGCAGGTAATGTGGTGGTTAAGGGCACTGGACTCCACCATAGCCAACTGTGGTTTGAGTACTGGACCTGGTGGCTTGCTTTCTCACTTTCTCCCTCTCTCTCTTTCTCTCCCTGCCCCTTTCTGGTCAAATTAAAATAAATAAATAAATAAATAAATAAATAAATAAATAAATAAATAATCGATAAAATAATTCTTAAAAAAAAATTTGGCATCAGCCACCATCCTGTCCTGAGATGCTTGTGTTCTAGAACCCATCCTAAGAGCTGTTAAAGTGCTCTTGACTAAGCATTCAGAAGCACAGGTGAGGAAACAGTGATTCTACCTTAAAAATGGAGACGTATTGCAACGTAAATGTCAGGATTACAGTGAGGATGATATGGGGCTTTGGGCTAAAGCTCAGAGAGGTGCAAGCCATGCTGACCTCAGGAAGCACTGTCAGGTTCAGCTTAGCAGGAACTTAGAAGAGGATGCAGTAGAGATAGCTGGAGAAACCAGCTGGAGGGCATGTGGCTCACCCAAGGCTGGTCATACTCAGTCACTCAGGGACTTCTTAAAACTTGTCTTTAGCCCACACTTGAGTGTAGTGGCCACTTGCTGAGCTGAAGTGGCCTTGGCCTTCTCTCACATTTCATGTTCCCACACTTACAGACTCTGTATCTTAACCTTTGATTTTTACAAAAGAGCACAGGCCTTCAAGAGGCCACTCAAGAATATGTAATACCCATGCCCTCTACCTGACTTCAGATCACCCTCTCACCTCTACCAAAAACCCTCAAGGGTGAGAATGGGCCACTGGGTCCTCAGCAGCCCAGATGGGCCTCATCAGATGCCTGGTAGCACTTCGGCCATCATTGTCTCACTACTGAGAATTATGCTTGCTATACAAAGCACCCGGTCAGCATGTGAGAGAGCGATTTGGAAAGTGTCCCTGGAAACCAAACCATGAAGAATGGCTTCTTTTGGAATCTGGACATCTTCAGTAGGTAGCCTTCTGGCTGCTCTTAACAACAAGTTCTAGAGATGTGGTTGCGAAGAGCATGCCCCTGAAGCTGAAGCCTTATAAGCCCAAATATTGCTTGGGCTGCTGACTTGGGAAGAGGTGGATATCATTTCTTTGGGATTTTATTTTGGGGGTTGGGGGGGATCTTTGCTATAGGGCCTGTGTGCTCACCAGGAACACAGAGAGAAGGTGAGAAATCACCCCCGAGGAAGCATGGCCACACCACAATCCCTTCTCCCCATTCTCCTCTCAGGATTTTGAGCATGTATGTATATGCACCCGGTGTGAGTTTTAAGCCCCTGGGTCCAGGACTTGAACTACAATCGGCCATGTGGGAGTCCAGTGCCATAATCACTATGTAACTTGCTGGTCCCACTTCTCTGTGATCTTACTAAGGTCACATTGGGCTAGCCATGTGGTGAGAAGTTCTCTATGAGGTATTATGACTGTGTGATTAACAATCACTCTAAAGCATCTTCTGTTTAAAAGAGGAGGGACAAGGAGCTGAGTTGGAAAAGTATTTAACATATGATGCTGAGCAAGAGACCACCAAGAAGAGACAGTTTAAAAAATAATGAAGGGCTGGGACCAGCAGTTAGTGTAATGGCTACGTCGCTGGACTCCCACGTAGTCAACC